CCTTTGTGGCTTGCCCCAGTGTTTAAATGCTTACAATGTTACAGATTAATGCCTTATTCTTATTTAGATGTATTTGGCTTCAGCTTCACTTTCTAAGTGCTTGCTATGTTTCAGCTTAAAATAATTCAGCACCCATATCTTTCCTGTGAAAGTACTTCACTTCATTCAAGTCACCTAATTCTTTTTTCTATGCAAGGCAGTTTCTGCAGCCTGTGAGTATTTTTTTTAGCTTCTTTCCTCGCCCTTTCCCGTTTCTAACATTATTTGGAAAACATTTACATGGGAACTGTACATGCTGTTCCAGCATCAGTATCATCATATCTGTAAACAGAGGTAAAATCACTTCACTTAGGTCAGCAACTGCATTACCTGCCTTTGCAACAGCTCCTCCCTGGCAGATCAGGGTATGGGCTGTATTCATTTTTCACTTTGATCCCTAATTCCTTTCAAGAATCACTGGCATTTCAGGATGCAGTCCCTATTCAGTAGCAATGACTTGCTTCCTTATGCTGAGATGCGAGTGTTTGCATTTGCTGGTATTAAGATGCATTGTGGATAAACAGAAACAGCCTACCGGGCACTCCAGATTGCTCTGTTTCACCACGTCTTCAGTGTTATTTACCGCTCTTATAAATTTATATAACTTTGCAAATGTTATCACCAATGGCTTTGTATTGAACCTCGATGCCTGCAAGATCTTTAGAAAACCTATTTAGCAGTGTTTTCTCAAAGATTACTCCTTTTTTTTTTTTGGATCTGTCACTTGACAAATTCTTTACTTACTGAAATTGTGCTCTATAATACTTCATGGTAGCTTTTTAAAATCAGAATGTTGTGCTGCTAAGTTAAATGGTTTATTAATACAAGCCAATTCCTTTATCAGCTAGAGGTGATAACTTCTCAGTGAGCTAGTGTCACTGCCAAGAGCATGATATTCCATAGAATTCTGCAAGTGATGTCATTCGTCTTTCTTATCAGCTTATCTGGTATTTTGCTTGGGATGGATGTCAGTCTCACCATCCGGTGGTTAGCTGGATCTTTATGTTTCCCTTCTCTAAAGACTGTCACATAGCAGCTGTCTTTCAGTCCTTTGGATTTCCCCAGTGCTCAGAGATACATTACGACTTAATGTCAGCAGTCATTAAAAGCATCTGACATAAGAAAGCGAATGATCAAGGCCCACATCTGCCCTTTCCCAGCAATTCTGTTCCTTTCAGTCCTAGCTATCCTCCTCCTGATGCTCCTTGAACTTGTAAGCCCCTTCTCCTGCTGCTGGAGGGGTGGAAGGTTGCAGCTTTGGGTTCATCTTTGTCCTCCCTCAAACAGTGGCAGAGCATGTGAGAACTCTGAAGTGTTACAGGGAGAAAGAGAAAGAGAAAGCAAAGAGAAAGGGAAGAGCATGATTGTCGCGAGAATCCAAGTGCTGTCCCCCAAAACTTGTTCCTATTTCTCTTTCACGTATGAGGCTTGTGGGCTGGTAGGGGAAGGAGCCCCCAGCCTCCTGCACCGGTGGAGATGGGCCGTTCTGTCTCAGCGGTGGAGAGGAGAGCTCACAGATGATCAGAAGAGGGCATGGTCCAGCTGGGACCATGAATATATACTCTTCCCCAGTTTTTAAAAGAAACATTTTCTCGGTCTATGGTTCTGTGCAGCTCAACAACTTCAAGTGCTGTTTTCAGCCATATTTTTAGAACCACTAGCCATGAGCCTTCTGAGTTGGTTTTTATTCCTGTACATTCATTCTCAAACTCATTTTATCTGCATGGCACTATTGACATTAGTGGTAGTTGCAGAAGCACCTCTTGGCCGTAGGCATATCTAGGACATTGGTGTTCAGTTGCTGAGGCAGTGCTTCATACAATGTTGCTGTGGTAACCCCTTGTCCTAATTCTGTAGAAAGTTCCTGTAGAAAGCCTGAAGAGTGCATGGTTTATTCTTATTTGATGCAAGTGCATGATTCTCCTTCTTTTCAGAGACTAGAAATAAATCTGTTGAACAGTCTTACCTTTTACAGAGTTCTAACATATAACCATCTCCATCTAATAAGCACTGTACACACTTTTTAGACTTATTTCGTTCATAATATTCTCCTAAAAAGCATACTGTCTTTTCTCTTTAGCGCTGCAACTTGTGAATTTTCCTTTGGGCCTTTATCTTTCTTAACCAGCATTTTACACTTCACAAATTCTAGCTCATATTGTTTGCTATTTATTTCCTGGTTTTCAGTTGTTTGAATACTGAGGTCTTTTAATGTATTTCTGTTTGCTGTCACATATACATCAACTGAACCAGAATGGGTTTTAAAACAAAGTGGTCCTTTTGGGAAATCAAATGAACTCTTTCCGTTTTCAGTTGAATTATGCTGTCCAAGTCTTTCTCCTCCTTGTAATTTTGCTCATGAAGGCAAGAGAAGGGAAGTCTAGCATGTGACGCTGTTTTGAAACATGAACTATGAGTCACAGAATCATATTAAGGATGGGAAGGACCCAGAACACAAAAGTGTTACAATGTAAAGAAAATATCTTTTAATGTAAGGTCTCACAAGAAACTGCAGCAATTCTTCTGGCATCTTCAGACCATTTCAGCTTCCCACAGGAGCAGAAAACCCACCAGGGTAGATGAAATCTTAAAAACTGGCAGACTGTTGCAAAAAATGAGCTTGTAGACTAGCCTAACCTAACAAGGTCTTTGAAGGTGGCAAGAAGGCTTTATCTAAGTAAAAGGCTATGGGATAGACAAACTTCCTTAACCTGGAGTGGTATTTACTGCACTGTATCTTATCCCTCATAGACTTTGGCGAAGCAGTTCATCCATCTAATGTCACATGGAATTGCCCCAGTAATAGTGAAAAAAACTGTTTTGTGTATTTCTGGAAGAACTCTGTACCTGACACTGCACCAACTGAAGAATGACTGGTGTTTCCACCATTGGCTACAATGGAGAGAAGGCTACTACTGACCTGATCTCTATACTATGCATCATTTTAGAATGAATTCTCAAGGAAAGAACCATTAACGGCTGTGGTTAGTTGTGTAATGGGATAAAAATGGAATGTAGATTTACAGGACTTTGACAAAGTAACCCAAGAGCTTTCTGTTGATACCATAACTGATTTTCCAGATCAGGGAAATATGGTGGACCTAATCTATCTGAATTTAGCAAAGGATACTGTGCTGCTGAGGACTAGCACAAGACTTGAAAGGGCTGGGGGAAGGAACTGGGTCAACAGCATGTGCTGAAAGGAAAATGACTGATCAGGAGGGAAACTACAAGCAGAGTTCCTCAACTATCAGTTTGGAGACAATCAGATTTTTACTAAGAAATTTCATGCAAAACCAAGAGTCTACCAATAAACTTTGTTGCTTGCACCATCAATACAGAAGAGGATACAATTCTCACATAACAAAAATGAACTGGAGATTAATTCTATGAATGGGATGGATGGACACTTTGGCACTAAAAGTTAGATTTACTCCATAAACTGTCCATTTATTTATTGCAAGTTATACATGAAGATGGAGAAATGTGCATATTAGGTGACCACAGCATGACTGTGAGCCATGAATTTGATAATGGGTATGAAAAAGGAAAGTGCAGTCACACAAATATCAAGTGAGATAATTCCCATAAAGTATTAATGGTTTGTCGATACATATGTATATATATGCATGTTTGAAATACTTTTAGATTTTACTTAATATGCTGTGCATGATTACGTTTATCCATGTTTTAGACAGATTGATTGAAATGAGAAAGAAAAGGCTCCTAAGACGATGGGAAGAATAAAAAGTTTGTAACATGGGAGGGGAATAAAAGAGTTTGGGTTGTCCTAGAATAGAAAAATGAAGGCTGACTGAAGATATGACTGATAGTTAAAAATACACCAATGAGTAAACACAATGGAGGAGGAAGAGCTATTTAAACTAGAAGACAATGTTGGCAGAAGAACAAATGGGCATAAAATGACCATGAACAAATTTAAGCTGGAAAGCAAGAGGTTTCTAATTATCAGAAAGCTGTCTTTCAATGAAAAGCAAAGCTCCTCTAAACAGTTTTTAAATGAAGTTTAGTAGGTTTATAATTTGCATTATATGACATAGCTGTCTTTAGTAGCATGGGATTTGATTCAGTGACATAGAAGGTCCCCTTAGTTTTGCGTCTTACACAAAGCAGCAAATACTCTTGAGATATAGTAGCCTCTCACTGTTGAACAGCACACAGCAAGACTAAAATACACTTTCAGGCAGAAAATCAAGAGACTTCGATATTCAGCTAGTCTCCAGAAGATTTAAACAGACTGAATGCAAAGACTTGTTTCAGAGCTTTCAATGTCACTAAGGCTAACGTGCTTAAACAGAGCAATAATAAGGCTAAGTTTTGTCTGAAAATTGTCACCTCCATCAGCACCGCATGGGGATGGGTCCTAGTGCTAACCACAATACTGTGTGTCACTTCTTAAGCTGTTGACAGATATACTTTCAGTTGTGAAAAATGAGGATGTGAGGACCTGGAAAAATGCTGATTTGAATAATTGCATCCTACTTATTACAGTGTCAGTAATGGAAGACAATATTCCTGTGTATTTAAAAAAACTGTGAAATCCTCCCTGCAGAAGATGATGGGTAGTATTATTCATTCTTATTTGTTTAGCTGAATTTAAAAATGTGCCTAGAGGAAAAAAATTAATTTTGGATATCAAGTAAACAGGATGTATTTTATACCCATTTTTATACCATGTATAGTATGCTTAATTTAAAAAAATGAAAATTGAATATAAACATCAATATTCTAATAATATTAAGGTAGGAAATTGGAATAAGCCTTAAGCTTCTATCTTAACTAATGCCACTGTGCTTTTTAGTGTTGTTGAATGCCACACTCAAGGAACAAACATTTTCCTCGGTTGAACTTTCTCGGTGTTGTCATTTTCTACAGCGGTATGAGACACAGAAACCTCTAAACTAAGGAACCTATTCCTTTTGTTTTTCAGCATCAAAACAATGATTCCTCCAGGGGAATGCCTATATGCTGGGAGGAAAAGGAGGAAACCCATTCAGAAACAGTTAAGTATCATATTCATCAGGAGGCATCTCCCTCCAAATGTGCGTGCTAGAAATGAGGTAGAAGGAGCAGTCCCTTCCTCCCGTGGTCCGCTGACACAGGAGAGAGAGACTCTCTTTCTCCGCAGTGAGAAACCCCTGGCTGGGAGGCTCGCTCTTCATGGTTAAGACTGGCTCCAGAAAGGATGCTGAGCGTGGTCAAACCGTCTTTACCCATCACTAGGTGTCCCAGGAGGAGGCCACTGGTGGTTGCGGTGCGTACCGCAGTGCACTGCAGAGTACACTGCTGTGAGGAGCGGAGAGGGACAGCGCTCTTTCGTAGGCAGAAGATACTGGTGGACTAAATGTCAGCTGGGTCATGGGCTGGAGCTCCGCGCTTCTCTGTTCCCCACCGTGTGTTCAAGGAGCCTGTTGAGAAGCTGCGTGCCGAGTGGCACCAGCGCGCTGGCGTTGCGCTCCCCCCTTCCCCCTTTCCTTGGCTTAGCCTTGCTTGGGGCATCGCTAAGTCCAACATGTGCGAGCCTGGAAAGTGGGTCAGTTCAGCCAACTGAAAAAGCAGACTGGTGACTCACTTTTTGCATAAAGAACACATGATTTTCAAACCACTATTTACTATGGGATCACTTTCATTAGGAGAAAAGTGGGAGAGAGGAATTATATGTGCGAAGGCGAAGGAGAAAAAGAAAAAAAGCAACGCAAAGTTGTTACTAAAAGATGCTTGAAATGGGAGGGAAAAAAGGCTGCTATCACTCAAATGTAAAATGATTTCCAGATGCCGTAAACCACTCTGTGAAATGAAGCTTTTTAATATAATCATCCCACATCTTCCATGTTACACTTGATTATATGGTTATGAAACACACATTTTTACTGTGTTAAAATTATGAACGAGCACTGGTGGCCTTCACAGACAATTTAAGGATGAGAAGGTAACTAAAATAGATTCCCTATTTTCAGTTGTTCAGAACTTTTAAAAATAACTCACTTGGCTTAAAATTGTATATATTGGTCTAAAGTCAAAGGGGAGTTTCTCTGAATGTCTGAGTGGAATCTGTTGATTTTCTTTGGATTTTGGAGAGTATTTGCACATGAACCACTTGTTCCCACTTAAAAAATATTTCTTTTAGTGTGAAATATATCATAGGTGACAATTTCAATAGACAAAGATAATGACATAAGAAAATGATTCTTCCTGCAAAACCTTAGTGTTAAATCCAAAAAGTATGTAATATTTCTGCACTACTGTTCAAGTATGGATGTGGATATTTAACTTTATAACTGAATGAGGTATGGAACTGCTCCAGCACATGGTATTACCTCTGTGCAGAACTGTTTATGAATCCTAACTTTTGTGAGAAAGGAAGGAGAGTTGCTGTTGCTTTGAGAAACATTAAACTTCATGTTTGGAGCATATATACTAGCTAGAAGAACTTCATTTGAAGGTGACTTCTAGATAAACACAATAGCTAAGAAAACTACTTGTAAACAAAGGATGTAAATGTCCTCAGGAGCCTTTAATGAAATTCTGGCTTCAACAAAATCAGAGGCAAATTCTCACTGAATTGGATGGAGCCAAGTTTTCACCTTGTGAGTCATCACCAGTAATGCTACCTTGAAAATAGCTTTGCAGTGAGATTGCAGTACAGGTACCTGAGCATGAATTTATCCAGCCAGGACATATACAATTTTGATTGAGAAACTTGGTTTTGTTAAAACAAAGGGAATAATATGCTTTGGATTATTAGACTATTGAGCTCCTGCACTGGAGATGGCCCTCTATTTTCTGTGGTTCGTTACTTCTCACTTGCTGAGGATGATTTCTCCATTCCTAGCAACACTGGTCTGTTCCTCAAACCTTATCTGTTTGCGGGCTTGGTCTCTGGTAAGCCTTCCCTGTGCTCATTCCCTCACTCAGGGACTTCCTAATTCTGATCTAAAGAGGCTCTGAATGACCAAGACCGACTGGCTGGCAGAGCTCCTTTCATGCTCTCTGTCCTTCAGTCTTACAGACCTTGCTGACATTCAGGACTCCGAGGTATCCTTACTGTTATGCTGCCTCAAACAATTTCTCGTGAATTTAGGAGGGTAGACATAACCTATTAATTGAACAGTATATTTAACCATGATTTTGATCCATGCCATACCATTTTTGTTACAGCTTTTTTTTCTCTTGTTTGATAGCATAGCACATTTTCCTCCATGGTCTTGTTCTGCTTTTCCCTGTGTCGTTCATTATCAGAACCATGGTAGATGGCTGCCACCTGTTCTGGGAGAGGTATTTGTTCAGTTGAAAAACTTAATTTTCCACAGGAAAAAAAAAGTTGATTGGAATTCTTTGGCCTGTCCTAATGATGATTCCTCCCTTTTTTCCACTAATAGCCTCTAGAAATCTAACTTTCTCTTGACAAAGGAATAGGTGAGCTCAGGTGCCAGTCTGAGCAGGATACTTAGATTTCTGTAGGGATTAATGGATTAGTCCTTTTGAAGGCCAGGATTCAAAGGACAGAGAAGAAGTTTTTCCCCTTTGTAGAACAACTGGGATATTCATGTCTGCCCGTACTCAGTGCATCCCAGGAGGCCAACTCACTGCCTCTCCATCAGCTTTTTGTGATCAGGCTGTCAAGCCAGGTGGTGATCCTGCAGCTGGCTTTTAATTCAGGATGTCACAGAATGACATTGCTCATGACTTCCGTGGTTTTTCAGGCACAGAAATTCTATCTGAGGTAGTTTTACAGAATAGTAATGAAAATGTATGAAGAAGCTCCATGGGAGAATGCAGAGACCCACAAGACTGTACAAGAATGTGTGGGAAAACTTGTTTTACCAGGAAGACCCAATATGTTTCAGCCTTCTTCTCTACACAGCACTAGGAGAGACTATCTTCATTAGGTCATCTTCAGACAATACATCGGGTTTAAGTTCTACTTTTATACATGCAAATAAATAGAACCCCCTAGCTGTTCTCTTTTTGCCCCAGAAAGCTTCCAAACAAGCCCCATTAAATGTGGTCTACACTAAGGAATTTTGGCTTTTATGGAACCAGTTCAAACACCTGGAGCTCGGACTGATCGAAAAATTTCCATCAGATATGCTTTTCAGCCAGAGAACCGGAGTTTTGACCAAAGGAAATATTTTCTACCAAGTGTTTGTTTCCTGTGGAAATCTAACATTTTACTGACAATTTAAGTATGTGAAAACTAAAGAGATCTTGTTCTTAACCTCAAGCTAAAATCACTGTGCTGAAATTAATACTTCTACGAGAAATGTTAAGGCAACGCTTCAGGACAGTTACCATTTGAGAGCTTCAGCCACTTCTTCGTCTCAAACCCTGGCAACTTGTAAAACTCTCTCCCTCCACAAAACATTTCTTGTAATGTTTCACAGCTCTTTAAAGGCAAGCTAGAGCTGCCCTAGCTCTGAGTGTATCTGTAACTGCTCCAAACTGCCCACTTCAGCCAGAACCATACCAATGCCAGGGTAAACAGAGACCTCAGGAGGTGCAGCTCTCTCCTGCTTCCTAGTTCTCATTTTAAGGCCCTCTGTGGTGTAACCCTTCCTCTTACTCAGTATCACACTATCCCACCTCTCATCTGCTCCGCCAGTGTGATGTCTTCTTGTCCATTAGTTCTGCTTTCGCCTTTCCTTACTGTGAAGACCCAGAAGAGGTAAAAGGTGGCAAAGGGCCCCCTTTCCTCCACACAGCTTTCTCTCAGTCGGTCCTTTTCGCTCGCAGGAGACGGTGAACATCTGCACATATACAGCTGGCACTGGGGCTCAGCTCTGCCAGGTTGCCTATGCAATGCCCACGCACAGCTCAGTGGCTGTGGGTGCTGGTCAGTACGTTCATGATAATCATCCTGCTGTTACTTTGCACGTAGCCTATCTGTTGCATCTCATGGTCTCTCTCTTCTCTTTCCCTCCTTCCTGAAAGCTTGCCGTCATAGTAATGGTTAGATTTTTTCTCAGTTTAGATCATCTGCTGGTTTAACGCTTCAGCATACTTTAAAAACGTATTCAGAGTGAACTTTTCGTTAAAAGGGTAGGGCTCCCTCAGAGGGTAGGGAACAGCAGACAGAGCTGTAGCTGCAGGAAATTCCTCTGCGAGCTCACCAAACTGGTTTACACTAGTGGCGGTCTGTGTGTCATGGGCACACTGAATCATTAAAGTGCAAATGGCTCAATGCCTTACGTACCACCACGACAGAAAATGTCCTCTGCACCAGCTCCCACGCTCAGTTCCTGCCCAACAGGGACTGGTGATATGGGTCTTGTACAGGTACAAGTACTTGCTACTGCAGAGCAGAATTTGAACGGTTTAACAATGCAAAGAGGGAAATGCCAGCTTTATTGTATTAATTACATGTGCTACTTCATTGTAGTAGTGCTGTATGAAAAGCAGAGTAAAAGAGGTATCATAGAGTGAGTGCTACGTCTCTGTTTAGACCTGATTTACACAGTTTGAGAATCCCTGGTTTAACACAAATACACCAAGCACCATCTACTTTCAGCTCAAAATAAGGGCTAGAATTTCCATTTGCCTCAAAACAGCCCATTGAAGAATTTCCCTGCCTGACCTTTTCTGTTTGAGGATAGCTATGCTAGCCTTTCCATGGAACTTGCATTGTTTTAAATCGCATCCACTTGGCACCTAATTACCATTTACATCAAACCCCTGTTTGTTTGGATTCAGTCCCTTACTGAATCATTTCCTTGAGTTTTCAGGAAGACTCTGTCCTGAACGTTCTCCGTAGTCTTTTTACACCATTCCTTGCAATCTCCAGAAAACTGTTCCTTATGCTCAGTACAAATGCAGTCCACATAATTGCCTTAAAACATACCTCGCTGGCATAGAGCAGTCACTATTTTACGTGGTAAATAGGCTTGAACAATTTCTATTTCTATTCCATGTTAGTCTTGACAATTTTTACCCCTTGAACTCATCAGTCTAATTTCCCTTATTGGAATTAACTTTTTCCATCCTAAATTGTTTCCTTGCTTCAGCTGTGTTGTCAGATATAAAGAGCAATTAGTAAAAGCGTATGTTCTTTAGCTTCTACTGAACTATAGGCTATATTCCCACAAAATTGCTACTTTCCACAGGTCAGACATCCTTTTGGTGTCATAGTGAGGATGGCTGAGCTTCAGGGTTTATTCAAAAAAATTAGTGCCAAATACGTACACTCTTTTTTAAAAAACAGCTAACTCTGGAAAAGTAAAAAAAAAAGAGTATTCCTTCTTTGCTGATTGCATTATTTGTTGCATATTTGCTCTCTCTAATAGGGGAAAGTTATTTATTCATCCCAGTCAACAAAATCTCTCCCATGTCTTTGAAAGCAACTCATTGTATTATTAAAGGCCCACACACCAGTTTTGGTAATTTTGAATGAAAAAGCAGGAATTATATGTTTTCACTGACAGCTACCTCAAACATTTTTTCATTCATTCTGTCCATGAATGTTGTCTTGTTAAATTGAACTGAAGGCTCTCAAAAGTAGCAATGAATATTTCATACCTGATTTGGTTTAAGAGGTTTTCAATTAGCAGCAAAGTCAGCAATCACATGTACAAAACATTGATCTTTTTTTTGCTAATTCCTAAGCACAACATTATTTTTTTTAATCACAGATACAATGATAAATTAAGATTGCACCTGTAAGAGGGAAACATGCAAATGTTGCAATTTAACCCTTTAACCACCTTGTGAAATACTAATGCTCAAAATTAAGATTATGATTGAAAAACATAGCAAATGTGTGGAGCATGGAAATGCAGTAGTAAGGTGCCACAAATAATTAGTTTGACGCTGATTCTCCACTGGAGCACCAGCTAAGCTACACAAGATTATGATCCTTGCCTTTAGTTAGGTGAAAGTGAAAACTGTTACCACACCTGTATTTTCCTTGCCTACCGTTTCCCACTCTTGAGTATTTTTCTGCCTTTTCTGCCTTGATTTTTCTCTCAATGTCTCTTGTTCTGGAGAAGGTGTCTCAGGAGGAATGTGGCAATGTGCTACAGTAAGAATTTGAACATGGGCATTACAAGAGAGAGCGGAGGAGCAGCAGATGCAGCACTAAGTCCCCGGGGAGATGCTAGCTCAGCTGTAGCACTGGGCTGCTGTACTCCATTTGAGATCATGGATCTCTGTAGTTTATGGCTCCAGTGGCCTGTGGCTCCCTCCTGGATAACACATTTTACTGCTGGGGACAGCAATGGCTGTCTGCTGGAGATAACCACCTTCTCAAACTTACCACTCACTCAGGTCTTCTTGCTTAAGCAACAAGGCTGTGCTTCAGCACTGACCACCCCTCACTGTCATGCTGCAAATCAGGTTTCCATGACTGTGTGCAAGTACACCAGCTCTTCCTTTTCTTCCTCTTGAGAACAGCATCTTATGCATTCTGTGAGAAGACTATCAGCAGACACCCCAAAACTGAGCTTCGTGATTTGTGATGTATTTCATCTTAATGCATTTTCACAATAGCCTTTCTGAGGCATCTGGTCCTGTTCACTGCATGAGAGGGACGTGAAATGGCAATGGACTAGGACTGCTTGGCTCAGAAATCTGAGTAACATTAGTCTTTATTTCTTGGAAGGAGCATCAACGTTCTTAAGAGAGAAACAAAATTCTTATCTTTGTTATTGCTCACGTAGGAAGGTAAATGTGAGAATGTTCACAGGATTTTTGAGCTTGAGGAAAGAATGTCTCTTCACCTTGCTTCCCATACTTTTTAAAATCATGTCTAAAGACAGGCTCTTTTCCTAATTATATCCTGACCCACAGGATACCTTTGAGTCATTAAATGGAGGGCACTAAGACGCTTTGAATGAATACAGTGGATATTGAATGGGTTCATGCATTAGTCACCCACAGAGGTAATTTTCCTCTGCTGATCTGACCTTCCTTTGTACAGCATAGATGAGAAGTCGCTTTTCCTGGTATTCACTAGAACATGAAGATAGTACCAATTCCCCTAAAGTGAGAGGGTTCTGAGTAAGAGATATCAGTTCTTCCTCTGTTTTCCACTGGGCAGATGTGAAAAGAGAGGCCAATGTCCATGACTGGCAAATGCAGAATGGTAAATCTCTTTTTGGCAGGGGACAGAAACATTAAAGAGTTTCATAGAAGCTAAGTTAAATATGCCTGTTATCAACTAATTGCAGACAAGGTCTCAGTCTCTGGTTGTACTATTTGGAGGTAAAACAGGTAATTGAAAATGTGTTCTCCACCACAGAAGGCCTGCAGTTGGGAATGAAAAATCAAATCCTTCAAAGAGACACAGGGACCGTCTGAATGCGGAACTGGACCACCTGGCCAGCCTCCTGCCTTTTCCACCTGACATCATATCGAAGCTGGACAAACTTTCCGTCTTGCGCCTTAGTGTCAGCTATCTCCGAGTTAAAAGTTTCTTTCAAGGTAGGTCTCTTTAAGATACCAATATCCCGTTAAAAGTCTCCCTCTAATTTATTGCTGCTTTGTACTTGTCATGAGTAAAATTAACATGCAGTATTATATTGATAAAGTAAGGAAAAAAAGATCTAATCTCTACTGTTGAACTTATTTTGTGCATGGGATGTTGTGTTGGAAATTTTGTGCATTTCCTCCTATGCTATTTGTGTGTTGCTTACCAAATAATGGGATAACCCCTACCCTTCCTCAGCAGGCTTTAGGAAATGGGAAAACATGACTGTAAAATCCCTAAACTGGCTTGGGAAAAACGTAATACCTGTAGTTAACATTGAACTCCCTTTTTGAAGCTATTATTGTGCATGTTTGCAATGTCTGTTTAAATACAATGTGAAAGTCAAGCAACTACCGTATTACCTGCATTTGCTCTATGCCAAGAGGAAATGGGCTTCTTTGAAAGGCCGAAAAGATCACTGTCTTTCAGGATAAGTGAGATCTGAAGTTTAAAGTGTTGCCTAAGCTGTAATAGGCTACACTTTGTTTTTGTAGCTGTCTGGCACACTGCACAATGAAAGCCAAATGTGCATGTTCAGATGTACATAGTAAGAATTCTTCCAAATTTGCAGACAGTTTTAGTTTCTTCTGTTGCCGAAGCGTTCACAAGAGCAAAATCCCGATTAAGGATTTAACAATTAAAATCCTCTCTAGAGTTGCTTAAAAAAAAGGGGGGGGGAGGGGGGGGGAAGCATATTTAAAGGAGTATAATTGACCAAAACTTATAGGTGGGCTGTAGAGATTTTTTTATGGACATTATTTTTCCCTTACTGCTTTTTGCTACTCCTTCCTGTTACTATTCCTTATTATGCACACTGTATACAAGGGAGCCCTATTTTGTTTTGTTTTGTTTTGACTAAGAATGATATCTGTTAGTTGGTTTCTTGCTTTTTAAAATGTATTTTAGTCTGTAAGAAAGGCCAGATTTTGAAGAGGCTTTGGCAGGCTGCAGGGCATTTTACAAGCTGACATCAGATTACAGATGGTGATGTTACTGATAGCAGGAGCCTCCCATGTCAACTGTGGCAGCTGGCTGCCCAGCCTCCAGCATCCTGCAGTTTACGGAGTG